CTGCTACTGCAAGGAAAATATATCCTAGTGATTCTTATGAATAATATTTAAAAGTGAAAGAAGCAACAACCATTAAATTACCTTGTTTCTTCTAAAGACCAGTGTTACCTACAATCTCAAAAACTCCTTCCCTTCTTTCCCTTAGAGCCATTGTAAACATCAACTATTATTTACCAGATGTAACTCCTTACTTTGGAAATGTCATTCTATTATATTTAAATGAGGTAATTTGCAATTCCCTGTATCATTTACAGGTGTCTCTTTCTGAGTCCCTTAAAAAATTCATGAAGTAATCCGCGCCCTTCCCGCGCGGCCAGTCCCGTTCCACAGGTGGCCCTTCTCCCGGGGCGCGGGCCAGGCGGGCTGTCCGCCCGGTGCCCGTCCAGCGTCCCGCGGGCCTCCCGCTCCGCAGTCCGTTTCCTTTCCTGCTTCCCTCTGCCTCTCGGCGACCGCCCCTCGATTTCTCTTTCAGACTCTCCGAGGGGGACTGGGAGGGGGGTCCCCGCCCACGTCCCAGGGACGATGAGTGGCTCTGTGCACGGTGCCCTCCTCCTCCTGCCCTGTGTGTGTAGCACGGGAGAGGACTAACTGGTGGCGATCGGGGGGAGGGGGCCCCCCGGGCGCAGCGAGGCCGGAGGTGCCTGCCTCGCCAGCCAAAAGGAGGGTCCCCTCTCGCGCCCCTTCTCCACCGCTCCTTCTGGTGAGCCCTGTTTTCCCAAGTCACCTCGATTCCGTTTCGGTTTCTGGGACTGTTATTTGCTCGGCAGTGTGGGTCCCACCCACCCCCTCGCTCGGTTATTTTGGGTGGAGTCCGCGCAGGATGTGAACAGAAGAGCAAAATGTGAATTGAGAGACCACGCGCGGGAGCCGCCACTCCCTCCCGGGGCCCCTCCTCCTTCCTGTGTGTAATGTATAGCCGCCGGGTCCACGTGAGTTGAGAACCCGTCTCTTTGATGGGCCGAAGTCCGATTCCCCTTCGGTTTCCGCCAGAAAACTTACGGGATGTTTTTTTGAAATTCAAAGTCGAGATTTATGTTCACGTAAAACCTTGCTTTGATTCTTTCACATTTTCTTGGAAATAACTGCCTATTAAAATGCTATTGTTTGCAACTGATGCCATCACTTACTCTTGGTTCAAAGCAAGTTATTGTTCGAGGTTTTACCGAGTGCGAAACCACGTGTGAGTGAAATCTAGAAAGAATACACAACTGGTACGTGGAAGAGCTAAACTGTTTATCCTGTCCCTGCAATAATTCGTTGTTTTTATCTGACCATTAAGGTAATTTAAATGTGTAGATGTTGTCGACCCCCATCTTACTGACTTTGAAATTGTAGTTTCAGAAAACCCGAGAACAACCGTGCTCTGGGCCATTTTGCCCCGTATAAGAACTACTAGCATTTGATTGGCACTTCTATTTGATATCACCTGCTCTTGCAACTACTCAGTGAGAATAGTCTCATTTTACAAAATGAGGAAACCTAGGGTCACAGAACTATACCACTGAAATCTGAGATTTAAGAAAAAATTCCAGATCCTATCAGCTCTGCTACACAGTGCTCAAGACACTTTATTTAAGTTGCATTGTGTATGTGACTTGGACAAATCAGATTTCCTTCAAAACTAGAGAACATGTCCTTCCATACTCCAGCCGGTCAGACAGTGAGCACCTATGTATACTCATTCTGTGCGTTGACCAACATTCTACGCTCCCAGATGTAAAGCTGCCTCTCTTGGGTGGGACTTAGCTGTGGGCGCTCAGCAGCAGGCCGCTCAATGCAAAGTGGAGACCGTGGCCAATTGAAATTACAAAGGAGAATTGGATATGCAAACTGTTGAGCTGAAACTTCTAGAAACATCTCAATGAGAGTAATAGGCACATGCAAAAATCTATTGTTGGACCTCAATACTAACTTCTGAACTTCAGAGTTCTCAAATTTTAAAAACTGCCAGTGTCAAATTTGAATAGGAATGTGTAATGATTGGTTTAAATGTAAACATACAGGCTACATATAAAATGAGGTTGAAATTTAATATATTTAAAAGTGAAAGCAAATTGTCTTTTTTATTTGAATCATCTGGGAGGAAAGGCTGCAGAAAAGACCGTTCAGGGGCTACCAAATGCTGTGGAAAGAATTGCCAAGGTGTTGAGAGCAGAGGAGGAAGAGTCTCGGCTAACGCGCATTCCCAGCGGGGCAGGCAGCGGTGTCTTCGTGGTGGCACCACATACGGGAGCGAATTTACGGAGGGGAGGCGTTGGGGGAGGTAACGAACATGTTTGGTGCGATCCTAATGTAAGATGCTGTCGCTTAAACAATTTCATCACCCAGCAAGTGAGAGCCGGGATGTAAAGACGGGTAAGGTCTCCACTCAAGGCACCGATTGTCTAGCAGAGTGCTTTAGGGTCAATTGCATGTTGCTGTTACACAAGTATTACAAAGTGCTCCCACATTGCTTGCTGTTTCCTGAAGCTTCTGGCTTACAGCTTTTGTACTTTTTTGGAACACTC